GCTAGCTCGGAAAAAAAAAAAAAAAAAAGAAAAGCAGGTAGTATCTCAAGGCAGCACCTGCTCACTAGGGGCCACATCAAATGCACAGGTGGAAAGCCCCACCCGGACAGCTGGCAAGTCTTGTCATTCCTAGCAGGGGTTCAGCAAAGAAACATCCTGGGCTGCTGGGACAGAAATACCTGGAACCAAAAAAAACACAGATCTCCCAGGCCCCAAGACAAGAGCTGTTTGTCAGATACACCACCTTGTGCCGTCATGACCAGCAGAGCCACAAGAAAAGACAAAGTTTAGTGTAAGGTGTCAGGAAGGGGTCCAGTTTCTGCTTTCTGCACCATGGAATACTATGCAGCCATAAAAAATGATGCGTTCGTGTCCTTTGTAGGGACATGGATGAACCTGGAAACCATCATTCTCAGCAAACTGACACAAGAACAGAAAATCAAACACCAACTGTTCTCACTCATAGGCAGATGTTGAACAATGAGAACACATGGACACAGGGAGGGGAGCATCACACATTGGGGTCTGTCGGGGGGAACTAGGGGAGACACAGCAGGGGGTGGGGAGTTGGGGAGGAATAACATGGGGAGAAATGCCAGATATAGGTGATGAGGAGGAAGGCAGCAACCACACTGCCATGTGTGTACCTATGCAACAATCTTGCATGTTCTTCACATGTACCGCAAAACCTAAAATGCAATAAAATATATGTTTAAAAAAAAAAAGATGAAGTTTAGGGACCAAGTCGGCGCCCACAGATAATTGTTCTAGGTTTAGCTCTTGGAGTATTTCCTGATAGACTCTCTGCCAGGAGGAATTCTACACACAGTCAACAATTAGGAAACATTTCAATTTAACCACAAGAGATTTTGAGTTTCTGTGGCCTATGAGCCAGGCCCTAGGCAGGCCCAAGTGGGTGATCCCAGGACACGTTAAATGTTATAAACAGCAAATGCTGGGGAGGCCAGGGGCGCCTCTGTGACAGAGGACAGGTTGGAGATGGGCTCTGAAGGCTGGGCAGAACTTGGGCAGGCAGAGCAGGTGGGGTGGCATCCTGTAAGACTTGAAGCCCCTTGCAGAAGCCAGAGGCGTGATGCTCGCTTTGCTTAACAAGTGAAGGGCCTGAGCCGTGGCCCTGTGGCAGGACTTCCTGTGGCAGGACGGCTCTTCCTGCCAAGTGCACACAGCCCGAGAGCAAAGCATTACTCAGCCGTAAAGGACGGAAACACCGACACGCGCTACAACACTGATGAACCTGAAAATACAATACGGAGAGAAAGAAACCATTTGTCTTTGCAGATGTCAGCAAGTTAAGGGCCTCCAGTTGAGAGCGGCCTGGATCACCTGGCTGGCCCGAAACCGAAAAACGGGAGCTTTTTGTTTTTGTTTTTGGTTGGTTTTGTTTTTGTTTTTTTGAGACAGAGTCTTGCTGTAGCTGCCCGCAGGAATGCAGTGGTGGGATCTCAGCTCACTGCAACCTCCAGGTGTCCCCCCTGGCACTCGGGGGACATCAGGACCGGCTTGCTGAGGATCTGCTCCTCTACTTCAGACCCATTAGAATCATTTTTCTCATCTGGAAAACAGAGCAGCAGCAATCCCCTCACCTGGTGACTAAATGGGGTGTTTGGGAAGCCAGTACCTGGCCAGCAGCCCACACTTACTTGATCAATTTTCAAAATTCTCTCTCCATAGCATGCATTTCTTCTACCTCAAAGGCACTGGTCGTGTGCTTATTTTGGTACAGCACATATGAGTAAGATAAGTAACACATATACCTTGTCGAGAGAAATTATACCCTTCTGCAGGGGGCCTCTTGTCACGGCCAAAATACCTTCAGCAAATGTGGAACTTGTGCCCTGAGGACAAAGAATGTCTCTCATCCTTAAGAAAGGCTGCCAGTGAATGTCTGTGCCATGCAAAATATCTCCAGAGTTATGCTCTATTTTACTGCAAATTACTGAAAGTATTGTGTTAGGATAATACATTCCTCCACCCGGTAAAGCACACTTGCAACCTACAGGAGTCTCGACATGCAACCACGGCGGAGTTTCCCCTTTGCCCTCAGGCTCTTCTTTGTCCTGCACATGACACTTGACATCTGGCAACCTTGCAAGAACCAAGCGAGGGTGCTGGTGTCTCCCTGCTTCTAAACATCTTCAAACTTCAATTTTCTTCTTAGACAAGCAGAAATACAAGTGGAAGTTCAAATATGTTATTCTCTGACTCCAATGGGTCGTCTGCCCACTCTGGAGTGAGATAAATTGGAATCCTCCCATCCTGGGGCACATTGGAGGAATGGGGTGGTTAGGGGGCGACAGGATGGTCACTTCAGTGTGAGATCATCATCTCCTAAAAATCAGATACCAGGAAGGGACACTGGTTGGCAGTCACGAGCGTAGGGGGGACACACATGATCTCTCCTCGGTGCTCCAGTAAGCCTGTCAGTGACTTAGGGATACTCCTGGGAAACCCAGGAGTTTTTAGGAAGTCCCGTGGGAGATTAGAGCAGTATCCTGTTAGAGAAAGGAACAAAGTCTGGAGTCCTGGGGCCAAGCCCTGACTCTGCTAGGAACTGGCCGTGTCATCAAGGTAGATTGCTGCAACAGTGACTCCCTCCCCCCGACATGATTCATGCTGCCCTGTATTCTCACCCCTTGGTCATGTGGCTTTGCTGCTCCTCCCATCAATAAATGAGGTCTTGGCCGGGCACAGCAGCTCATGCCTGTAATCCCAGCATTTTGGGAGGCCGATGCTGGTGGCTCACCTGATGTCAAGGAGTTCAAGACCAGCCTGGCCAACAAGGCAAAACCCTATCTCAACAAAACATACAAAACTCAGCCAGGCATGGTGGTACACATCTGTAATTCCAGCTACTCAGGAGGCTAAGGCGGGAGAATCACTTGAACCCAGGAGGCAGAGGTTGTAGTGAGCCGAGATTGTGCCATTGCACTCCAGCCTGGGCAACAAGAGCAAAACTCTATCTCAAAAAAAAAAAAAAAAAAGAAAAGAAAAGAAAGAAATGAGATCTAGGCCAGATGCTATGGCTCATGCCTGTAATCCCAGCAATTCGGGAGGCTGAAGTGGGCAGCTCACCTGAGCTCAGGAGTTCAAGACCAGCCTGGCCAACATGGCAAAACACTGTGTCTACAAAAAATACAAAAATCAGCTAGATGTGATGGCGCACACCTATGGTCCCAGCTACTTGATACGCTGAGGCAAGACAATAGCTTGAACCTGGGAGTCAGAGGCTGCAGTAAGCAGAGACGGCATTGCTGCACCCCAGCCTGGGCAACAGAACGAGACTCTGTCTCAAAAAAAAAAAAGAAATGAGGTCTATTTCCCATTTCTTCCACTCCTTGCCCCTCTGGGGTAGCCTGTGAAATGCTTTGACCAATAGAATGGAGTGGAAATGACCTGCAACTTCCAAGGCTAGAGAGCTCCTACTTTGGTCCCCTGGGAACATTCTCATCATCATTTGAAGATGCTGGGATGAAAGCTTCTCAGTGGCTCCTGCCACACAAGTGAGCCCAGGTAAGCCTGGGTAAGATCAGCTGAGAATCATGCAGTCAACCCGCAGAATCTTGAAAAATAATTCATCATTGCTGTTTTAAGCCATGAAGTTTGAGGCTCCTTTGTTATGCAGCAATGCTGACTGATATATCTTCCCAGTCTGTTTATTCTTCTTCTGTATGTCTCAGTTTCTTCATCTAAAGCATGAGGTTTAATTAGGTGATCTCTAGGTTCCTAAAGTTCTGATGCTCAGCCATGAGGAAAAGAGATAAATGTTTGTCACAGCAATAAATGAAAGGATGGAAAAGATGCCAAGTCAAAGAGAGCAGTGCCTGGGAATGGGCATTGTCTCCTCTTGGCTGAAACAGGTCTCATTCCATAGACGCTGCCAAGGAGGGCATAAAGTTTACTACAGCTGCACACATGGGAGCATTGCACCCCCTAGGACGTGGTGCAAGACAGAAGTGATCTCAGACGTGGGCCACACGGTTCTCCAGCGCTGCACTCCCACCTCACCTTCACTGTGCCAGCCTCGTGACCTGACCCAAAAGTCCCTTTGGTCCTAAGCCTGCAACCTCCTTTGCACACTGCAGACACAAGTATCCACCTCAAAGAGCTGTCGCAAGGATTAGATGGGATGTATGAAACTGGTGCCTGGCAGGCATTGAAAGTGGCAGCTACCGTCTTCCCACTTCAACCCACAGGTGCATGGAGTTGACGGCCTCCAACAGGCAGGAGGAAGAACTATGATGGGACAAGCAGACAAGGAGTCAAGGCGCTTTCTATCGTGCCTGCAGCCTCAGTGACTAGTACCGTTAAGTGCAAGCGGTCTTCACGCAAACTCTGCGTGCTTGTGGAGGCAAGACTGTCAGAGGGTGGCATCCCTACCCCCGCACCTACACGGACCGGCGCAAACATCTGAGTAAGT